TTAAGGCAGTCATTATACCACCAGGCACAGATATCTTAGTTTTTATAATATTTTCTGATACATGTACATTGTACTTATGTTGTATAGCATGTTGAAGCTGATTCCGATCAAAATTGATTTTTAATGGATTTTTAAAGTTGCTTAAAAATTGGGTCAAAGTCCCTTGGCCAAATTTTGCCAAAATTGAAAAGGAGAGAATCTTATTTTTAAAAAATATTAATTTTTGTGATGCATATACATGTACTTATGTTGTGTAGGAAGTTTAAGCTGATTCCGATCAAATTTGAATTTTTTACAAATTTTTAAAATTACTCAAAAAGTCCCTGTATATAGTACAGGGGCATCTTTTGCCAAAATGTCAAGTAGAGAATTCTCAATTTTTATAACATTTTCTGATGCATATAAAAGTTCTTATGTTGTGTATAAAGTTTGAGCTGATTCCAATCAAATTTGGATTTTATACGAATTTTTAAAGATCCTCAAAAATTTGGTCAAAGTCCCTGTACTATAGTACAGGGGCATTAGCTAAATTTCGCCAAAATTAAAAAGTAGAGAATTCTCAGTTTTTGTAATATTTTCTGATACATATACTTGTCCTTATGTTGTGTATAAAGTTTGGTTAATTTTTTCTTATTTTTTCTGAGAACGTGGGAATATTTTCGAATTTTTTAATTTTTTTAAATTTTTTCTGATTTTTCTTCTGAGCATGGAAATATTTTCAGAATAGTTTTATTATATTTTTAGAATTTTTTCTGATTTTTTTTGGCAACGTGGGAATATTTTCGGATTATTTTATTTTTGTTTTTGAAAGTTTTTCTGATTTTTTCAGAGAGCATGGGAATATTTTTAGCTTTCTTAAATTTAATTTTTGGAATTTTTTTGGATTTTTTAATCATGAGTGTGGCAATATTTTCGGATTATTTTTATATTATTTTTCGAATTTTTTCCTGATCTTTTATCGACAGCCTAAAAATATTTTCATAGTTTTTAATTAATTTTTTTAAATTTTTTTATTATGAGTGTTATAATATTTTTTGATTATTTTTGTTTTATTTTTGGAATTTTTCTGATTTGTTACGAGATCCTGGAAATATTTTCGAATTATTTTATTTTATTTTTGGAATTTTTTTTTAATTTTTTTCAACAGCGTGGGAATATTTTTGGATTTTTTTA